TAAAGAAATCTATAAAATATATCAAAAGGCAATTCATTGAAACTCAGGCCTCGTTTTTCATCTGCTTGCACTCTGGAAATTTACTAGAAGGACTCTTCCCTTTTATACTTCACAAATACTCAAAAATATCATATTTATTTCTTTTAAATACTAAGGCTTACCCACCCTAATTCGCAAAATGTATTTTCCGTATTTTCTTCCGACTCTGACGCCAGCACTTACTTGCAAGTTGAAACTCCTAGTAAATATGTTAGTCAGTTTTCTGACTTGTCTGAAGGTGAAATTACATCAAAGCAAAACACCCCTGAGCCCAGTTGTTCGAGGGACGATTAGCGCTTAAATTTTCCTTGTGTTCAAAAGCATCTTCTCGGATAATTTTGTTCCAATCATCAACTTGTAGACAAAAAGAATTAAAACTGAAATGTTTTTTAAGCTTGCAAATCTGAATTCAAATCTCGCACTAACCCTGGGATATCTTAACCCAGCTTTGAACAACTCGGCCTTGGAAGATATTAACCCGTTCACTTAGCTGAAGGATTGCCCACAAAATGTCAGAATTGTGACTCGAATGTCTATTCTCTACACTCTACTCGTATCTCTGTCACTCTAGTCTTTGCCTACGGCTCAATTAGACGTTATCGTTCGACTTCTTAGTCGCCAGAAGAGCCCGGAGGCCGCGCCCTATATATACAGGGAGGCTTGAGGGAGATGAAAGGGTAGAGATTTCACTTGCAACATTCCAGTGAAACTGTTTCCATTTCAGCTACCAACGGCATCTATTTGGAAAGATGGGACCGGATAGATTACAAGCGTGTGAAATTCCTCCTCATGGACTCTCGTTATCCAATGCTGCCATCGAAAGCAATATGTCTTCCTGATTTCCAGCAACCGCAGCGTTGAGCTGATTATTTCGGTGCTCGAGCAAGGACGTATTTTGCTCCACAGCAGACTGGAATTTACTGCTTCATGCTTTGTGAGGGCATTTAATTTGATTCCAAAAATTTGTACCTTAATCTTAATTAGGCATGCAAGAAAGACAAGTTTAGTTTCAGAAAAAAAGAGATAAGGGGATAATGGGGTTTACGGTTGATCGAAGTCTTTGAAGACAAGCACAGCAGTAGATCGGTGAATACTCAACAGTGCAACTGAACATACCAAACTGATTCGTATCATTGGGGTGATTGACCAATGAAGGGGTTTGATCCAGATAGGCAAATGTTATGCAGTCTGCGTGACAGGCGCTGTATAATCCAATCAAGGCGAACGCGGCATTTTGCGCTTCGCGCATTTGCCGCGTATGCCTCACTTGGCTGATAAAGCGCCTGCTATGCAGGCGAAATACTACGCAATGGAATTGTAGTTATTAGACATGCGCTTATGCGTTTGCATAAGAAAAGAGTTCATCTCCCACAGGACTGGTTTGGGACACACCAACATGGCCGCCGTTTTATTGTTATGGGACACCAACATGGCCGTCGTGACGTCATGTGAAAACACTCTATAGGGACTAGGCAAGTTTACACTTACCGCACATCCTCTATTAAGCCGCCCCTAGGGGGGCTTATTTATTTCAAGCCCATTTGAGGGAGTGGGGGGGCTTAATGGAGACGGAAGGCTTATTTGAAAGGGGGGGCGGCTTATTTAATTTAGAAACGACAATGGTATTAGTTCTCCATAAAGAATTAGAATACAAAGTGGAAAAGCTGAAGTACAAGAAATTTAGGTCATGCAGCCAAGGATCAGAATCAAGTCCAATCTTCCAATTGGTAAATATAAGCCATCCTGGGTCAGTCCACACGACGTTTTGCAGTCGTGGTTGATTCATACAGTCTAGCATTTATTAGTGAAGAATAAATAGGGGAGGGGAGGGGAGGGCGGGCATATTAACTTTTTTCCACTGAAAAGCGGGGGCTTATTAGAGAGGGGGGGCTTATTTGAGAGTGGGGCTTAATAGAGGATTTACGGTATGTTTACCATCCAGTGTGACATCGAATATATATCACCGGACGAAAAAATGGATTTGCACAAATTTGCTCCTAGCAAATATCTCGCAAATATTTAAACACTGAGGTGTAAATATATGGCAAACATGGTAAAAGTTGTACAAATCCATTTTTTTACCCACGGTATATAACGTGTGCATCTAATTTCTCTCAGCATCAGACGCCGGTAGTGAGCTTTATATTAGAACCAAATGATAAACGAAGATGATGATGATGATGATGATAAATACTTGATTGGTGGGAGGCAAACCATTATGATGCCAGTTGGCTATTTTATGAGCTTGGCCGCCGACAATTGGAACTCGGGATTACCGAGAACAAATCAATCTGGCGGTCAGGGCGGGACTTGAAATCTGTAAATAACAAGTCCAGTGCTTCAGTGACCTCCCAGCGTGGGCTGATTAAGATGTCAGAGTGCAGACAATGGTTGGGAGGAAGATTTCTCTCGATTCAGCGGGATGAGTTGTCGAAGTCTGGGAATGATGCATATTGTTATTATAATAACAATGCATATTAGAATCCTTCGAATCGACAACTTCATTAAGAACCTATTGTGACAATACGCTGGAAATTTCTTTCCCCCCACGTAAAGAAATCCGAACTCCTGAGTCCCGGAAATTTTTGCCTGTGGAATCTGGAATCCAGAAATGCTTTCTTGTAAATCTGGAATCCTGGCTTTCTGTAGTATCTGGAATACAGCTCAAGGAATCCGGAATCCCGGTAACGATTGGAATCCGGAATCCAAGTTCCGCTGACAAGAATCGGGAATCCAGTCCCTGGAGTCAGGAATCTGTAGCTTGGAATCGACAATCCAAGACTGTCTTGGATTTCCTTATCTGACAATCGGACGTAATCCTCTCGGTTGTGTATTCCCGCTTACGGGACAAGAAATATGGAAGAGAATTTTTTTTTTTTATGAAAGAGGCAAACAGATTCAAGTTGACTATTGGTAAAATCAGGAAAGGGGACAGTTATGTCTATTTTGACAACTCACGATCTCTAGTGTTTTAATTCCTAGTTGACAACGATTTGATTCATCCGTACGACGAATGAGATGCATTTTTCCACTGTCGAATTAAAACGTTTTTTCATTTGTATGATTCCGTGGAATTAACAACTTCTCAACGGCCCAGTTTATCAATTGAACACTCCTTTGGGGGCGCTATTTATCCATTCATAGCGGCCAAGAAACGTATTTTTCGGGCTTATATGTCACAAGTGTGAGTGTGATCTATTTGGAAGCACTGTTAACGTCGAAAAGTCAGGATCGAACAGAAAAAAACGAAACAAAACAAGCAAACAAACAAAAACACGCACAAAGTATCGAGTAGTTAGCAAAAGCTGCTGGACAGAGAAAATAACGATTGGGCAAACTGGAACAACCTAACGTCATTTTGAAATCAGTATTCAGAGAAACACAATGAAGAGCCAATCAATTTTTTCCTTACCAGAGGCACAATGCCATCTATTTCCAAATAGCTGGGAAGCCGAGGCAAACAACTTTTCACGCAGAGCAGCAAACCTTGAGCAGTACATGCACGAAATAATGTTTCGCATCTTTAACAGGTGAATAGAAAACAGCTCAGGCTACTGAAGAAGTAGCCTTTGGCAGATTTTGATAGATATATAGTTTTAGGCAAGCCTAAAAGCGAAGCTTCAATCGGTTTTTATACTTTTAACTAGGGGTACCTTCCGGCAAGTGCCAACGAGGCGAATTCGTTTATCTTTTGTGAAATGTGCCTATTCAGATCTTCGCGATATTTTTTTTCATAATTTTAGAGGTTTAAAATGGATTCCGCTATAGAAAAGGATGGCACCCAACTTCAAAACAACAACCTTGGCACATTCTAGGCTTTCACTTTTATTAAACAATAACAACATGGCTTGAAGCTTTGTTGGAAAATATGAGCACGTTAGCACTTATGTTTCATGGAAAATTCCATTGTATCAAAGCTATAAACGTTAGAAAGAAAAATATAGTTCAAATGAGGCCTTTGACTGATGAAATTAAAAATAATAAGTAAATTCCAAGCAACAGCGTCATCAGGGATAAGAAAAATATTTCGCGAGGTAATGTACATAAGATAAAATATGGTGTAAAGTAAAATATGTGAAAAGCGCGCAAGAATGGGGCGGAATGTATTAGAGGTGTAAAAAAATAAACTTGAATAATATACAAGTGAGCGAGTGTCGCAGGACAAAGAGTCTCTTGAAAGGCATAATGTTAGTATGAAAAACAGAAGGTACGCACTGAATTCGTTGCATTCCTCACGGGAGTTTTGGGCTGTCTCAATGTGAATCAAGCAGAAAAAAACATGCTGGTTGACAAAATTTGCTGGGTTACGCAAAATTTGAGAGTTTTTGCCTACATTGCGCGGCGTTATAAATCTGCCGCTGAGTCAACCTCGCTTCTTAGCTCGGTTGCCTCGTTGGCAATTAACGATTATTGGATGATAAAGGGATGTTCAGTTCTGCAATTATTCTCCAAATAGCAAAAGTCGTCGGTCCAATTGTAGTCTTGTTGTTCTTGCTATGTTTTGAGGCATGCAGTAGTTAGCTTATTTCTTCTTCGCGAAACGCGTGAAATGTTCCGCCATTTTCTACTGCTCTACCAAAACAACTCAACCTCGTCCCCAGGACTTGTCATCGCAAACGTCAACGATGGCTGTTTATGGAGAATCAAACGTGGGATTTGAGCCAATCAGAAAGTGAGAAATATTTGGAATGAATAAATTAAAGAAATTCGATCGCAGAACCTCATGAGTTCAGGGTAAGGGCAAGTAGTAGAAATAAAGAGAGACGAAGCCAAGAAAGAAAAAAAAAAGATAATCGAAGATAATAAATAATTAACGAAATGATAGGTTTATCCAAGATTCAAACTCGAAACCCTTACTTGCTAAGTAAGGTACGTACTTACCACGACGCTACGTAATGAACCAGATATGAGCCTCAAGTGAAAACGCAGTTTAAAGCTGGTCAAGCCGTATTAAACGTCAAGCATGAATTCAAAGTTGTATTTCAGGAAAAAAGCAGGGTTTTGACTTTAGAGAGCCGAATTTGGACCCCTTTTTTGCGTTCGAAGAACAAATGCCCTGTAGAGCCGATATACGATAAAACTCGAGTGCTAAGTAAGACGCAAAAAAAATGTTCTCTACCTCGATTTTCGGTCTTATTTTGAATTTAACGGCCTAAATCGCGTCCATTTCTCTTTAAAGTACCTCCACAGTCGAAATTCATCGCCAAAAGCATCTCGTGGCCGCTAAAATGGCGTTTTTTGCGGGGTTTTGCTAGGTAACTGTGGACACCCGTGAGCCCGTTATATTGCCGCCTTGTGTTTCAGGCTACCTCGCTGGAGATCCATGCGTCAAAGATTCAAGCATGCATGCGAATTCCGACAAAAACATGTAAAACTCGCATGGCGAGGAACTTAAAAGTAAAGACTGACTTTGTTCATTTCGATGTAAAATTAGTTACTTTTTTGTTCTTATGAACAGATCAAAACTTCTCCTACCAAGCCATTTTGCTTAAGGTAGCCGCGGAAGCTGGTGCGAAGGCTGGACTATCTTTTGGCGAAAGATGGGCCAAGAAAACAGGCGCAAAAGCAGGAGCTAAAGCTGGTGCAATGGCAGGAGTACAAGCTGGAGCATGGGCTGGAGGAACTGCAGGAGAAAACGCAGCCATCAGAATGATCACAAAAACACTGGAGGATGGGTTAAACAATCTTCATGGTAACGACGGGCATAAATATAAGATTAACGTAGTGGATGGTAACGTGGTCTCAGTCACTGGACCTGGAATGACGGGAGCTAGTGCAGCTGCAGGAGCAGCAGCGAATGCTTGGGCTGGAGGGACTGTCGGGGTAGGTGGGTCTGGTGGGGCCGGCGGAAGTGCAGGCTCGGCTGGAACTGCTGGAACAGGTGGGACGGCTGGAGCTACTGGTAGTGGTGGAGCTACGGCAGCTGCAGGAAGTGCAGGTGCAGCGGCAGGTGCTGCTGGGGGAGCCGGGGGAGCCGGGGGAGCCGGGGGAGCCGGGGGAGCCGGTGGAGCCGGTGGAGCCGGAGGATCAGGGGGTGCTGTAGGTGCTGGGGCTACTGGGAGCACCGGTACGGGAAGTAGCTCGTCTGGTGGTGCTGCAGCAGGAGGTGCAGCCGCTGCTGGCGGAGGAGGCTCTCAGGTTTCCGGTGCTGCAAGTGTAGGCGTTGGAACTGGAAGTGCTGGAACAGGCGGAGCCAGCTCTGGCACAATAAAACCTGCCAAAGTGACGTATATACCAAAACCAGGAGAAGATCCACAATTAATGGCACTTAATTTGGTCTGGAAGGCCGGGGGAGCGAGGAAAAGTAAGTCAGATAATGTTATCGATACCAGCAAATTAGATTTTGCTTTGGGAAACCCGCTGTTTGAATAGACGGTGTAGCTGTTTTTACAAGACCATTTTTACGTTTAAAATAATTCTATCAAATTACTAAGAATAAATTCAAATGCAAGTTTTGAAGATAGATAACGAGGCAATAGTTAGTGAATAGTTATCTGAATAGCTTGTATTTGCCTTTGAAGTATCATCTTTTATCAATAAATTGAAACCATAGAAGAGATGAATTCATCTTTCCACCATTTCATTCATACATCCATGCATACATGCATGCATGCATGCATGCGCATCTACTCTGATTCATTCATTTAGTTAGTCATTCATGCATGCATGCATTCATTCATTCGTTTACTGGGTTTTCAAAGTTTTTCATAATTTTTGGTGGTTCGATCTTTACCTCTTCACCTTTGAGAGGCATAAGGCTCAACAACCGCGGGTTAAAGTAAGAAAGATAAACCTCAAACGAATAAGCTTTCTTGCGCTCAACTATGGAATAAACTTCCAGAAGATGTCAAGCTGGCCGATAATGTTAAAATTTAAAAGTCTAAGCTAAGATCAATTCAGCTGTAATTTTTATATTTTCAATTTTTTTTGTATTTTCTATAATTTTTTATGTTCATGTGTACATAGATTATAGATTATATGTTTATTTTTTTATACTAGATATTATTATCATAATTTTAGATTTAATGCACGTTCGTATTTTGGACGAGCACTTGTACTCGTAGGCGATAACGAGGTTAAATAAATTGTTGTTGTTGTTGTTGTTGATATAAGTATAACTAGCATTATCTGAATTAGTAGAAGTCATATGACTTATAGTTTTCTATTAATAAATTTTGCAAGTTGCAATAAATTGATTAATCTATTATTATAATAATTGTTACCTTTTAGAGTTATTAAAGCAATGAAATATAAAAAGGATTATCCTATATAAAGATTCGTTTATTGTTGTTCTTGTACTTCTCTATTATTTTCATTATACTTAAATATGTCTTCCTAAATTATTTTTCATTATTTCTTTGTCTCAGTCGTAGCAAATGGAATGTATACTTTTCATTCAATGGTTGCACCGTACAGCCAGGAAAATGCCTTTCTCAACGATTGCTGGAGATCAAAATATGGTTTATTCTACTTAGATAAAGTTTGTCAGGTATTTATTACCCGTATTCCTGCCTTGTCAAAAAAAGCCAGCACATCGAGAGACACAGTTTCCTTTGAATCTGCATGTTGGCCAGGATATTTCTTGCGCCAAAAGAACTATCACTTCATTCTCCAAAAGAGAGACGGAACGGAACTTTTCGGTAGGTATACATCATAATCTTTTTCTTTTAAATCCAAGCCGCGGGGTGTGGTGCTCCCTTATATAAGCTATGATATGTAGGCATGTGCGGCCCCAAATGGTACAGTTTTTGTCACAAAAATGGGTATAGCTATTGCCCATTATGGTCTATATATCTGAATACGGATACGGTTTTAAATGGAACCACGAGAACGTATAAATTTATTAGTTATTCAGCTATAAACGTTTTTTTTAAGATGAATAAGATCGTCTAGTGTCAAATACCTCTTAATAATAAATAATACTTTTGTTGACTTCACTTGAACAAGGTAACCGTGGGAGGTACACCCATATATGGGCTATATGGATTTTTAGGGCGTCCATCCTTAAATAGGGCATTATTTTTACCCTTGTTTGCGTTGTGCTCGTCTATCCTCCCTTGGTTCTCGGTGTGATCCTTAGAAACGGTTCCTTACTATATCAGCTAATATATAGATTTAGCCAGGGCTAAAAGCGAAGCTCTGGTTAATAGTACGTGCTAACAAAAATTAAATCGTCTAATGCTCAACGGGGGCGACAATGAAAATGGCTTCAAAAAAACAAATTGCACGTGCAGCACCCTTGTCCACTAATTAGCGAAAAACAAATAGCACGCTTTTTTGTCTTTCCCTTGCCGTTGTTTTGCACGACTGCAACGCTGTTTTGTACGAATAAAACGTCAAACTTCCTTGTTACACATTATTTTTATGGAGGAATTGTTGTATGTGCTCACCCAATATTTTTTTTCCTGTGTTCATGCTCGCTTTTATTTTTCACTGCCGCTCATTTTCACCTTGCTGGCCGCTAGCATTTCTCTTTTTCTCACTGCGTCTTTGAATTTCCATGTTTTTCTTCCTACGAAATTCGTCACCTTTGTTTTCAATAACTCGCTCTAGCTCTTTCTCTGTTATCTACGTTAGTGTAAACATAAAAAATAGCGCAGAAAAAGACACGACTATGTTGTTGTACGGGTGGCCATGTGATTTCCTTCCAATAAAACCTTGAGTTGCATTTGGGTTGCCATACCTGTTCATTGAGTTATTTCACATTGGTATGCCTGTGGTATGGACGGTCGCTCGCTCGATGTACGGTCACGTGATTACCAAATTTTCTGGGATGGGTAGATTACCACATTTCCTTAGTTGTGGGGCTCCGTCCACGAACGGCGCTTCGCGCCACGCGTGGAGCTCCGCTAAAAATTCAAGTGCGTATCACGTATATGCCCATCAGCACGAGAAACAAATCACCTGTTAAAAATGAACTTTACTTTCGAGAAATAGGAAAGCAATTAAGGAAAGATTCGTGTGTTTCCATTACAGTCAAACCAGGTCAAGCGTTCCCGTCGCTAACGAACTAATGAATTCATTCACGGAAAAATGATTTCGTTTGTTGATTCAATAATCCATTCATAAAATGAACAATCCAATAGTCATATTTAGCCTCGATTCCATAATCGAATGTTGATTCGATTACTGTTTTTTTGAAAAATTACACTTTCCACAAGTTGACCTCAGAATTTTGTTTTTTCCTCTTTTTTTTCTGAGAGTCGAGTGCTGGTGAGTTCTGAAGTTCAAACCCAAACAAACTGTTACATGTAAGCCAGTTTGCTGCCAATAATCAGTGCAACAGACCTAGGCGTGACCTCTTAGAAAACACGACGGTCAAACTGAGGTCAGTGTATGTGCGGTGATTGGTGGATTTCGATCCTCGGCCTTTGTCAGTTTCTTTGCGCTTGCGGTCTGTCTATTCTAGCTGTTATTTTGATTAAAGGCAATGAAAAACGCAATCGTAAACGGCAGGAAAAGGGAAGCAAATACGATTGAACACAACAGACAAGAATAAAGAACAGGTAGATTTTGTTCATAAACCAAATCAACATTTGATTATTGAATCGAGGTACAATTTGACCGTTGGATTATTCATTTTATGAATGGATTATTGTATCAACAAACGAAATCATTTTTCCATTAATGAATTCATTAGTTTGTTAGCGACGGGAACGCTTGACCTGGTTTGACTGTAAATAGGGTCAGGGTTTTTAAAAGACGGCACACACCTATCCAAAATTTATGGAATAACCGCCCTACCAGGAAAAAGGTAATAGATTGGCGAACAGAGAACAACTTTCAGAGGCTGGCCAGCTCTGAAAAAAGGATATGGGAAAATGTTTTTGACTGAAATAAGGCTAGGATTTGGAAAACCGTGCGAAAGTTTCAAAGAGTAAATTAAGTTTTTCCTCTACACTAAAGTTTCAGTTTCGCGAGCCGCCATTTTCGTTCATGCTTAGTAGCCTAGCCCTTTTATCCGTGACGGTATTCCGTCGAAGGTAAGCTGATTGGCGGGAAGTTCAAGTGGAATGCCTACTTTGAAGAAACAAAAGAAGCACGGGCTGATTTTACAGTCGGGAATATATATTTCTTTTACCAATATTTCGGAAGGCAAGGCCTTCTTCTTCAGGGTCTTGCATACAATGATAAGATTAAGCTAAGACGTTAAAATTTGAAATAAAGAATAGCTAGCCTGTACACGTACGTTGTTTTATTTTTCTTTTCGTTCTTTTTGGAAAACATCGGCGAGCAAGGGATAGCGTGCAATATGATAGTATGATAACAGGTGAAAATTTAAATTAGAAGAAAAGTGAACGTTAAAAGTACAGCTATATGAAAACAAAAACCGTTGAATTAGTGATATGAAAGAAATTTGAAATGTAACAATGGTATAAATAAATGATTACAAACGGAAAAACTTTAAATTATTCTGGTACAAGGATTTTGTCCACTGAATATTAAAATTACTCAATTTCCTGGTGGATTCCGTCTTAATATTTTAATTGTTATATGTTATTAAATCCCCAGATAAGGACAGTTCATTTTTTGTCTACGACGTCGTGACGTACACTCGCAATTTTCTCTTCAATTCGATGCACAAAGACTGGTATATCTGCGAGGAAAATAAGGCTGAAGATCGTGGAGTTCACAAAGTAAGTAAACTTGGTCTAGACTTTTACAGTGGTAACCCAGACGTTCTTCCACGTTGTGCCTTTATACTCAACCCAATAGAAAAAAATGGCGACAAGTTTAGGAACTGTAAAAACTTTATTGGGCCAGTGGAAACTCCAGAAATAAGCGGACAGCCTCTTCCTCATCCACCTCATTTGGTTTCGAATAAACCACCGTCTCCTTTTGGTCTACCAACCTGTATACCAGTTTGCTCAGCGGGACCAACACAGCCTGGAGCTCAGGGAGGACAAGGGAGTATAGGCCAAGCGGGTCCCGGCACCTCCGCTGCTGGAGCGAGTTCATCACATGGAGTTCAACCCTCAACAGCTGTTCAACCGTCTAACAAACGTAAGAGATAAACGATGAATATACGTACCTTCCCTTTGATACAAAAAAAAAAACGAGTAATTGCTGCCACCTAATCATACCCTTGAGCAATCAAGGGAGATGATAAACAAATGTGGTGTCAAATGAGCGCCTAAATAAATTTTTTGAGTCGAGAGGATGACTCAAATAGGAAGGGGGACTCTTCGGTCATATTACGGTATTTATGGCTATCACTTTCCGAAAGAAACATCAAATAATCGCACAAAACCCACCTTTCCAATAAGCAGCCATTTATCGAGCAAAAGATATTGTCCCGCTTTCAACTTTTATTAAAAATACAAAAAAAAAATTAATTAAAAGTGGGTACAGATGGGGATAATTGGAGAAGGTTTAAACAGACTGCATTCAGATCAACTTGATAAACAGTCTGACACTGTTCACTGTGAACTCACCCTCTCAAGAGGGTCATATTGACGTTAACCGTCAGACGACCGAGGACGTAACCGTCAACCATCAAAAAGCTAAATTTTTTAACGCAACCCATCAAGGGCCCATTTACAAACGAGTGAGAAAGAAAATTATTATTTCACGTAATCATCATCATCGGTCGACCGGAAGAACAGTCGACTGTAAATCGTCTGACTCCAACTGCGGTATGTGTATAATTTTGTTGTATGGTAATGACGTCATGGAATAATAAAAGAAGGTAACTGTTAACAATTTTTAGCCTTTAACCGTCAGAGCAAACCCCCCATTATGACCCTTACTATAATGTACGTGACTCCGTTTAAATAATTGCCTCTGAAATGTTTAAAAATGGACTTTCCTGTATCCGAGGCAGACCATGGTTCACCACAAACTTGTTGCTTTTTATCACAGCATACTGTGTTGCGGTAATCTTCGACAACAATGTTGGCTCTCCTTTTACATTGTACTCTTCTCTAAAACACGAGGGATATCTTGTCACTGGATCTGGCTTTAAACTGAAACTTTTAATAGATCGACCAGAACTGCACAGCCACGTGACCTTCTACGCTAAAGACCCAGGTGGAATTCGAGAAGACTTGTTAAATGGGGAACCAAGTATTTCAAGGCCTGTGGTTTCTAACTGTGATTATTTTTTCCCCGTGACTGTGACAGCCGAACAAGGCTCTTCAAGTTCACCTCCCGGAGCCCCGGTCACATCTCCCCCTTCATCTCTTCCCGGACAGTATGCACCGCCAGCTGCACCGCCAGCTGCACCGCCAGCTCCAGCAGCCCCACCTCTTCCTCCGTCACCACCTCTTCCTCCTCCACCACCTCCTGCTGCACCTCCGCCTGCCTTACCACCTCCGCCAGTGTATCCGGCTCCGCCGTCCCAACCTCCATTAGCGCCACCATCTCCTCCGGCTCCGTCCACAGCACCAGCACCCCAGCCGGCTTATGCTCCACATAGTCCGTCCATTCAAGGTGCTCCTTCCATGCCAAGAGGCAAGTAAATCATTTGCTAATAGTAACAATATAATAACGATGATGATGATGATAATGTTAAAAATAATAACTGGTAAATTGTTTTTCCCTTGATTTGCATTATGAAATTTACTAGAGAGTTTATTTTGATGTGAAATGCATGGATATCAGGTCTGAAGAAAAGACAACTAATTATGCTCTTTTAGTTGATAATAACAGTGACAGTATGTATACTTAATTGTAACGTGGAAGTCAATTATGATAGTTGCCTTCCCTGTTCTAAGCAGTTCAATAGCTTTCTTTTTTGTTATAATTGAAGACAATTAATTAATAATTTTTTGATATTGCAACTGATGGATTACTCAATGACGTAGCTTTCGAATTCAATATTGATTTTACAATCCTCGCCCTTCTAAACCGTAACAAAGGTACTTAATTTTAGACAGCAATATACGTTGGCAGCCTCCTCTTACGTACGATTTATCCAATAATTTTATTTTTCATAGTTTATAAAAACAGAAATTGTTTTTTTTTTTACTGTTTTCAGACAATGGGTCGGTTCATTACCATTACCACTATTATAAATCCAAGACGGCTGACCACCTACATGGTAATGATACACTTTTATTTTATGTATTTAGCACGCATGACAAAGCCTTATTCTTCCTAAATTCCACCATTTTCACCTAGGCCATAATGCACCTAATTTACTTCCCCAAATTTTTGCACAACTCGGCGTTGTCTTCGATTTTCCTTGGTACGCCAGTAATACCCAGGAGAAATTGGAAACAATGGTTATGCAAAATTTGATGGGTTTGTACTATCGACCGAGTGAACAAGAAAACAACGCCATGCTTGTTTGTGTCGAATAACTCCGTACTTTTACTGACGGATCACGTGACGTGATGAACTCGTGATTAACGACATTACAGGGTTAACAAGGTGCATTATGGTCAATGTGAAAATGTTGAGTTGATACAGGTAGGAAGATCAAATAATGATCTTGCCCCAGTTGTTCAAACGTTAGATAGCGCTATCAACCGGATAAATCACAATCCAGCGGATATCTATTAGGGAAACCAATTGCGTTATCTCGTACTGGACAGAAATTTATCCACTGGATAACGGTATCCACCTTTTGAACATCCGGGGCCAGGAATCATTGTCACACTTCAGATGATTCTTCAAATTTATTTATTTTTACTTATAAGTCATCACTAATCAGACATAACATCTATGAAGGATTGGTTCGATTACCAACCGATACTCAGGAAAATGAGCCCCCACTCATCTCCCCAGAAGAGCTTCGGGGGATCAAAGTCCAGACCCTGGAGACGGCGGAAGTGAAGGATACTAAATAATTAGATCAGATAGCCAATCTCGACTCTTATGTAAACGTTTTAACAGCAAAGAAGAGTGTTCTACCTGATATCCAATATTTTTTCATATCTTTGATCTGAAGCTTGCCCAAGCAGCTGTTCTCCTAATTCTGTTCCATGCCCACCCGCCTGCCCGATACACTGCTGTAAGCGAGACTTGGACGAATACGTAGACGACGAGGGAAAATGAGTTTGCCTTTGTCCTAGAAAATGGAACTTCCATAATGTAGATGATAAATGTACATTTTGTCCTGCACTTGGTGATTAGACGACTTAGACCTTGGTCGGGCTAGAATGAAAGAAAACAGCACAGAAACCTTAATGAACAGCTAGACAACGGCCTTGATTACATTATCCGGCTGTTTCAGCTTGATATGCCTCCTTGTAGATACTCACAAGCTTGGCTTCCAGCAAGCTCTTGACTAAGGGGCGAGGGAAAAGAACTGGAGAGCTCAGTTGAGGTCCTGCTAGCGAGCAGCCTTCGCACAAAGAGAAAGCCTCAGCCAAACGGTCTAGCCGACATCCTAGGAAGCTTAAGGCTACGAAAACGTCACTTAAAAAGTGAAGTCGCGCTGTTTCAAACTTTATCGCTTTTATTCCATCTCGTTCAATTTGTCAAATGTTGGCATTTTTTTCTGGAGGTGAATTCTAAATAAGTCTGCCGAAGTTCAAAAAAAGAAAAAGAAAGTCGTTTGTCTTTACTGTGTCTTGTGTTCGCGTTCTCCACAAAACGTGAAATTAGGTATTTTCACGTCGTAGTCGTGCAGTGATGGCAAAGAAATATAGTTACAGTTGTTATTTTGCCAGTATAAACGTATTGCTGTTTTGCCGTTCTTGTTGACGTCGTCGTCGTCGTTTCGTAAGCTCCCTTCTACCAAAATAAAGGGGCTGTATCATGGACGTGGCCCATTTTGTTTAGCGTTTCCTATGGCTTACATTTAAGTCTCTATAAAAAAAGGTTTATGACCGTTTAACACAACACCGGCACCGTTTGGCTGGGGCTTATATTAACTGTATTCGCTGTTCTTGGCAGCACTAATTTGCAATCAGTATGTATTTCTCTAAATAAAATAGATATGGTTTTACTCAAACTAAAAAAGATGCCATCTTAAGTTTTGGGAAGAGCACTCTCGTTTGATCCATTTGCTGATCACGCACTTGACGCGCGGTCATCGCTTGACTTCTTTATAGTGGGTACCATTTAACGAGGAAACTTGGGTAGATCTCCATGCCACCTTTCCGCTTTTCATTCACAAAAGAAAATTCTCCCCAGGTAAAATTGGTTATACTAGAATATACGTGTGGAAAACGCATATCGAAAGTCCCGAATTGAAGCTCTGAAATTTATATTCTGGGGCTTATGTTCAGAGGGGCTTTATATAAGCAACTCATCTCAGGAAGAACTGATTTACGTTTCGAAAACCCATTGGTTTTTGAGCGTGATCAAGCGATGTTACTTAAATCTACCATTATTATTATTATTATTACCTCTATTATCACAGTCTTTGCTGGTGTTCTTTTTGTGCATCAGCCGGGCGCAAACCATGCACCTAGAGCGTCAGTCACTCAAGTCAATCATTCTGTTCATACACTGAGCACCTTTCTGAGGATTCGCGCAGATCCCAGCATGCAGATCTTTTGAATCTCTGTCATAGTAGCTCTCTCTGATACTTTCTTGATGTTTTCTACCATACCCTTCTTCACTGTACCAGGCGCACCAACAACCACAGGGATCACTACGGCTTTCATATGCCACATTCCCTGTATTTCTAGTTCTAGGTCTTTGTACTTGCTTTTTTTCAGTTTCCTTCAGTGCGATGTTTCTATCTGATGGAACAGTCATATCAATCCGTTTGCAGGTGGAATTCACTGAATCTTTAACGATGATGTCTGGTCTGTTCTCTGTTATAGTTCTATCAGTATTGACCGGCATGTCCCACATGATAGTGATGTTGTTATCGTTATTGTGCATCGCGGTCTCTGGCTCGTGTTCGTACCATTTGTCTGTAATCTCTATATCATGATCTTTACAGATGCTCCAATGGAGATATGCTGCAGTATTATTGTGCCTGGAGATGTACTCTGTTTTGGCTAATACCTCACATCGAGATAAAATATGGTCCACTGTCTCTTCATGTCGCGAACACATTCTGCATTTGCTCTCCACTTGCTGGCCACATATTACTTTCTGGTAGTTTCTGGTGTTTATTGCCTGGTCTTGAGCTGCTACAAGTAGACCCTCCGTTTCTCCTTTCAGATTACTTGACAACCATTTGTTGGTGGTGACTGTGTCTACATGACTTATATTATTATTATTATTATTATTATTATTATTGTTATAAGTGTTCAGTTTGAAGACCGTATTTCTTCTCCAAGGGCCCAGTCCAAACCTTGAACCTGGGGCACTTGAGGGTTTCTTTGTCATTATTGTCACTTGATGAATAGGACCTTCCGTAGAATATGTGTCGTTCCCAGTAATGTTGTCTTTTGAATTTCCCAGATGTCAACGTTCGCTGTAATTTCTCTAAAACAAGCTTCTCTGAGTCTTTCTTAATCCCTAACGCACCTACAACCACTGGAATTATTTCGGTCTTCATCTGCCAGGTTCTCAGCTAATTTCGATTTCCAGATCTTTATACTTGGAAAGTTTTTTGGAAATCTTTTTGGAGGTATTTTTATCAGAGGGTATAGCCACATCAATGAGAGCGCATTTCTTATCCCTACTGTTCTTGATGACAATGTCAGGACGGTTTGTAGAAATTTCTCTGTCCGTATGAATAGGCATGTCATAGAGAATGGTGATATCATTCATTTTGTTATTATTATTACTATTATTATTATTATTATTATTATTGTTATTAATGGAGTGAGCTTGTAAATTAGTGTTTTAGGACCTTTTAATATTTGTATGTCATCAGAATTTTAGTCTATGATAGTGGAATGTAAATTGGTCATATGTTAATAAAATTTTTTTAGTTATTAGTAATGGTAACAGGACTGAGTGGAGTCCAATTCGTGCCACGTTCACGATCCGTTTTCTCATTTCGGAATTCGCAAGGAAAACTCCGCGTTCACAATCCGTTACTGCCCTTTTGACAAACATGCGAACTCTAAAGTTCAAAAGCTGCCTTCACAAGTGCGTTTTTCGCCGCCGTCAATCATAATTACGAGCACAAGCAACGAACCTTGAAACACAGAAACACACAAAACGGATTCAAATCCACGAATCACAAATCAAAAACCATGACCTTTTGAACCCGTTAAAGTAAAGTTTTGTTTCCTAAGAGGTCCGTTAAGATGATTGACGGCAGCGAAAAACGCAATCGTCAATTGGCTTTTGAACTTCAGAATTCGCATGTTTGTGAAAAGCGCAGTAACACCAAGAAAATATGCTGTTTACTTCACGTTTTCCAGCACACGGAAAACGTGGTTGAACAGTGCGCTTTCTCTCGTTAAGCGGACATTTTACCAAATGGTTAATGTAAGGAAAATATCGCGTTCGTGACTCGTTTTCCCACTTCGGAAAAGACAAGGACAACTTGGCATTCACCATCACTTTAATAACAGAGGGAAAATATGCTATTCATGTCACATTATCCAGCACATGGAAATCGGGGTTGAACAGCTCGTTTTCTGTCGCTAACCTGAAA